TTTTCCTTTTCTTGGAACCTTTTAAACCTGCTCCAGACTGGGACCCAGAGAAACAGCGAGAGCTTGCACTTTGTAGCCTGCAGAGGTCTACTCTGGGCCACAGCCTTTCCCAGCACTGGGGGAAGTGATAACAGTGACCACCGGGAGAGCCTTTCTGAAAGTCACCAGAGAGACTTTCTGAATTTGTCATCTCTTCAGAGCAGTGAATGAGTTTTTTCATCTGGTATTGTTCAATTTGTGTGCTGGGGAGTGCTTGGCCTGTTAAAGAAACAGGGTTTTTTCCACATATCTCTGAGGAAATCCTTCCCAAAGCAGTTGGGGAGAGGGGCCGTGTGGGTTTGCTTTCTGGAGGGGCCCCTTTTGGAGGGTTTCTCCCAAATTTGCCCAAAATCAGGATACAGGCTGAGAAGATCCACAGACAGCATAGAGGTTCTGAGTTATTAGAAGAGGGGTACTACTGTCAGTGCTGCTCTGCCATTTCAAGGTTCCTTCACAAAGTTGTGTGTATCTGCTGTCAATGTGATATACCCTAGCACTTCCGTATTAAGCCAGTATGGATAGAGAACTGAACTTCTGTTAATCTGCCTTCTCTCCTACAGCCACAGTAATAAATGGCTCCTGCCTGGCCTGAAACCCTGAAGCAGAGCCTGTCAATCAACTGTGATGAGAGCAAGAGCAATATAAAGCCTTTTTTTTTGCAGACTTCTGAGTGTATATGTGGCATATAGTAATTTATTTCTGATGCCCATCTTGGTTATTAATTCCCCATTCTTTATTATTTAGGGCAAGCAATGGAAATTTTTTGTATACATAAAGTTTGTCTTCTCATTGTGGCTTAATTTTGAGAGGTTATAAAGCATTGTTAACAACAGACCATATCTAGAAAACAAGCTAGAGAACAAACTTTTGTCCAGCTGGGTTGGTTTGCATGGCCTGGCCTGGGTTTTGGTAGCAGGGAGGCCACAGCTTCTGTGAAAAGCTGCTAGAAGCTTCCACAATGTCCAGCAGAGCCAATCTCTGATGGTTCTGAAGACAGACATGCCACTGGCCAAGGCTGGGCCAATCAGAAATGATGGTAATGACTCTGTGGTAACATATTTAAAAAGAAAATCAAAACAAAGTGATGGCGCAGTTTGAATTCCAGCTAGAGAAGAGAAGGAGGTGAGAACATGTGAAGGATACAACATGGAGACACCAAAGTCAGTGAAGAAAGAGGGGAAGAAGGTGCTCCAGGCACTGGAGCTGAGATTCCTTTGCAGGCCATGCAGATCCACAGGGGTTGCAGAGATCCATTCACAGTCTGTGGGGGAGATGCCCACACCAGGGCAGGTGGATGACTGGAGAATGCTGTGATCCAGTGGAAGAGCCAGTGGGAAGAGGGGGCCCCTGCTTCCAGGCTGGAGCAGCCTGTCCTTGGAGGACTGCACCCTATGGGGGTTTTGGTAGCAGGGAGGCCACAGCTTCTGTGAAAAGCTGCTAGAAGCTTCCACAATGTCCAGCAGAGCCAATCTCTGATGGTTCTGAAGACAGACATGCCACTGGCCAAGGCTGGGCCAATCAGAAATGATGGTAATGGCTCTGTGGTAACATATTTAAAAAGAAAATCAAAACAAAGTGATGGCGCAGTTTGAATTCCAGCTAGAGAAGAGAAGGAGGTGAGAACATGTGAAGGATACAACATGGAGACACCAAAGTCAGTGAAGAAAGAGGGGAAGAAGGTGCTCCAGGCACTGGAGCTGAGATTCCTTTGCAGGCCATGCAGATCCACAGGGGTTGCAGAGATCCATTCACAGTCTGTGGGGGAGATGCCCACACCAGGGCAGGTGGATGACTGGAGAATGCTGTGATCCAGTGGAAGAGCCAGTGGGAAGAGGGGGCCCCTGCTTCCAGGCTGGAGCAGCCTGTCCTTGGAGGACTGCACCCTATGGAAGAGTGACCCATGCCGCAGCAGTTTTAGGACTGCTACTCTTGAGAGTGGACCCATGCTGGAGAAGTTCATGAATGTGATAAATAGGTGATATTGAGAGCAAAATCAATCCATAAAAAAGAAAAAAGAGATGAAAAACCGGGAGAAAAATCAAAAGAGATTGCAAGAGCCCAAGAAATGCTAGAAAAATTTGAGAAAGAGTGTGAAAAACTTGAGGCAGCAAGAGAAATGTTAGAAAGGTTTGAAGCTGAAATGAAACAACGAGAGAACTTAGAGTATGGGAATTACAAAAGGTATCAAAGCACAACCTTTTAACAAAGCACGAATCAATGAACAAAAAAGAGAAATGGGGGATTGTGATAAATAGGTGTGATTCGTGCTGATAAAATTGAAACAGTAATCAATATGGATATAGTAATCAATATTTGGAGAAAACAAAATAGTTAAATGGTAAAAAGCTAGGAAAGCAGAGGGGAAAGGTCCGCCCCCCCCATTATCTTTTGCAGATGTTCAAGGCAGGAAAAGGAGTCAGATAAAGCTTGCTAAAATTAACTGAAAGAGGGAAAACTTGGGTAGAAATCAGAAATATGTTAATTTACAAGATTTATTATATTGGCTTATATAACTTTGGTTTGGCATATATGATATTAGCTTAGTGCGCATGTGTAACCCAAAAGGTGAAATAAAGGACACCTGAGGAAGAGGAGCGGCCTTCATCTGGACGACCCCCAAAGAGTGGTGCGACCCCCAAAAAGATGGTGGCGCATGCGCGGTGAAGATGAAGATGAGGGTGGAGACACCAGTGTGATGAATCGAAAATAGGAGGGGATGCTGATAATAGACAGTATAAAAGGGGGAATTTTGGGCTTGGCAAGCTTGTACGTGAGGTGGCAGGGGTCCCAAGGCCCTCGCACTCCGTACCCCGCGGTAATTTTGCTTATATGTCATTACCCGAACCAAAATATATTTTATTATAACCAAATTATACTGCCAATTTATTGAATGTAACTATTTCATTTAAATTTTATTAAAATTATTGTTATATTTAATTTTGTTTGGCCTTTTATTTGTGATTGGATAATTGGGCAAACATAACATGAAGAACTGTCTCCCAGGGGAGGGACTCCACAGTCTCACAGGGGAAGGACCCCTCTCGCTGAGCAGCAGATCTCAGGTGAGAACTGACCAAAACCCCCCCGTGCCCTGTCTCCCTGCACTGTCGGTGAGAAGGAAAGAGGGTTTGAGGGAAGATGTTTATAAGAGCTTATTGTACTTCTCATTATCCTTCTCTGATGTTATTAGTAATAAATCTACTTTGTATCTCCAAGTTGAGCCTGTTGTCCCCTTGGAGTGTCTTCTCCCAGTCCTTAACTCATGAACCCTTTGTTAATTTTTCTCTCCTCTGCCTAGCTGTGGCAGGGGAGGGTCAGTGAGGGACTTCTGTGGGTGCCCGGTGTTTGGCCAGGGTCAAACCAGGAAACCATAGTCAAAGGCAGAAAAGGCAAATGATGTGGATCGCTTAAACCTTATGCAATGCACATGTATCAGGATGCCACAACTTGAAAGGGATTAGATCAACCTTCCTTCAGCAAATTCCTGCTTAACCTTCATGTAGCAATCATTTCACTAAAAGCAGTCTGCAATTATGTCTGTGAAAGATGGAAGATGTGTTAAACTGCAAAGTTTAATGTGTGAGATTTCACATGATCAGGGTTTTATCTTCTGCACCCATGTTTCACAAAACAAAAGGATAATGGACCAGTATTTAAGGAAAAAGTTGGAGATAATTCTGTTAGGTATAAACTATTGTCCAATTCTGAACTAAGACTGGACCAAGCTGCACCTAAGCTCTATGAGGAGTTTAGAAAGCAAGAGGATATGCTCTGAATTTGTGATTCAACAGGAGAGTCTTGTTTACTCTTTTTTCTCTAATTATTCTAATTAGATTTTTCTTTGTATGTTTCATCCATGATGGAGCGAATCTTGTCATTGACCTTTATGTCACACTTTTATAAATGTATATTAACCCCACTTTTGCTAATACCTTGCCTGATGATTCTCTGAGTGACCCTAAACCACACATTTGTGACAAACTGGCATAGTTGGTAGGATCCTAGACGAGAATTTGTGACACCCTGCTGCACTGGTTTCTCTAGGAAAATCTTCAGCTTATTTCTGCAAAATTTACGAGGCCTAAGAGCAATACAAGCAGAGAATAACCTCTCCAGAAACTATTGCTGTATCTGTCACTATGCAGACCCAAGGTTATTTCTTTTCATTTTCTTCATAATGACAATTGAAAGAGAGCATCAAGGCATGTGAGCAGTATCCCAAGAATTTTTCAAAATTAAATGTTAGCAAGGCAATTTAGCTGATCTGGGGAACTCATAACGTGACAAAAGAACACCAGACAGTCCTGACAGACTAGAAAACTAGTGTTGTTCTTTTTTGGTCTGTCAGGATTTGTCTCTGCAAATGCTGTAGTTTTGAAGGACTGCAAGGAACCAAAACCATTAAGGTAAAGAAACAGGCATACTGCACATTGACTAGGTAAAACAAAGTTTTCCTTCACTTTCTATTTTCTTGACCTATTGCAACTTTTGCATAAACCCCTGTGCACCATGCATTAAGCTGGGAGCCTGGCTACATGAGGTGCCCGGTCTGACAGAGAGTATCTTTCTCAAAACACTTTGGGTTGCCCAGCCCTTTCTGGCTGGCCTGGTAACAATGGGGCAGTGGAAAAGCCCCTCATGAAGATGTTCGCGCCACCTCGTAACACGACGGTTGCTTTCCTTCCCCACCACCGCGTCCTGTGGGGCAGCGTCGGAGCTTGGCCCCTGCCAGGGGCTGATGGTGTCTCCTGCAAGCGCCCCCTTGGATTTGAAAAAGAAACTTCTCCAGATATCGGGACTGCGACCCATACAGACTAATTTTCACGTATGTTCCGGGGATGCCAAAGCATTTTCGAGCTAAGCTTTTCAGCCCGGATTGGGAAGACCGCCACCGCAGCGGAAGGAAACCCGGAACATCTCTGCCAGACCCTGCCCAAATCCCGCCGCGCATCCGGGGGCGGCGCAGAGCGGTTGGGTGTGAGGCCCCTCCCTCCCTGACCGCCTTCCGTGGCAGCGGGCAAGGGGCTGGGAGGGTCGGCGCCGCCATGCGATTTCGGGCTAAGATTGTGGATCTCGCCTGCCTCAATCACTTCAGCCGTGAGTATGTCGGGGCAGGCTCAAGGGCGGCAGTGCTTCTCTCAGCGGCTGGGGCCGGCTTTCTCGGGCAAAGAAAAGAGGAAGGGAGGTGAGGACCACAGTGCTTTCCTGGGAGGACGTAGCATGAGGCGCTTTCCTTCGCCCCGAGGTGTTTAGGAGTTTGCGAAGCAGCACGACCTGCGTTTGTAAAGGCTGAAGGTTTTTCTGTCCCGCAGAGACTGGGGTGCATGGAGTGATCACCGCTGTAACGTCCTCCTCTCTCCCTCCCTCCCTCCGGCAGGTGTAATTAACACAATCGCCAAGTTAGCCAAGACCTGCATCCTGCGCCTTACCGTCTGCAAGCTGTATTTCATCCTCTCCGATAAAGTAGCAAATGGAGGCGCCAGTATGTGGTGTGAGCTGAGCCAGGTGAGCCCAGGAAGTTTAGTCACCACATTTTGAAAACCAGAGCATGCAACTGGGTTTGATCTACGAGGCATTTCTTGTAGCCCTCACCTTCGATGTGCCAGGTCTCTCAAAGTCTGCCTGGTTGCACAGGTGTTTCAGGTTGGATACTCCCTTTTCCTTGATTGTCACTTCAGTGTAAAGCTTCAGTGTGTGCTGGCCCACATGGGCCTGTCCAAAACTGGAAACAGGAAAGCATAACTCACTGTCTAATGGACTGATTAGGTGTTAGGGGAGTACATTAAATGGTTTAGCCTGAAGCAATGAGTTTTCATGGTTGTGATTCCTCAGGTGATTTGAGGCAGAGGGGAGTTTCTGGTGTACAAATGCAGTTCTAAGCTTAAGGTCTGATAAATAAAACTTGCGTCTCTTGTTTGCTTTATTTCCTGACTTTCAAAAATTGTAGGGGAACTTCTTTGATGAATTTCAGATGGAAGGAGTAGCTGCAGAGCACAATGAAATCTATTTAGAGTTTGTGCCTGAGAACCTGTGGAGAGCATTAAAAACTGCCCAGAGTGCTAAGGCAGTGAAGATCAAGTTGACTAATAAACACTGTCCCTGTCTCAGCGTTGCTGTGGAGCTAGTAAGTGCAACCATGCTTTCATGTTCATTATTAAGAAAAAGTTTTCTAAAATGTAGTGCGTTTCCTAAGATCAGAAGGTAATATATGGTATAATTCTAGAAAACTAAAGAAACATTGTGCCATTTTCCATTTCACTAGCCTTTCCTGCCATCATGGGTGATAGCGTACAGAACCAGCTTTGTATTTTCCAAAACGAAAGGAGGAGGTGGAGGAAGAAAGCTATGTTATTGAAACAAGTTTTTCTAATGTCTACTTTTCTCCATTCCTTCATTCTCTATATCTTCTGTGGATTATTGCCTTTTCATTGAAGCCATTAGATGAAGGTTTCAGTGTTTGTGTTTTGCCTTTGGTTTTCCTGATACTGCTGACTTCTGATTCTTTTGTTGCTGTTAACTCCACTGATTCACCTCTTCAGTTCTAAAGATAGCTTGTAGGTATACTAATGACTGATACATCACAAACTCTTCCTCATTTGAAAGGGAAGCCCACTTAAAAGCATATTGATAGGAACTGAGGGAAAACTGGAACTGAGTGTCGGGCACGTAGTTATAGCATTTCCCAGAGTGGGTCTGAAAAATTTGAATTTAGAATTCCAATCTTGTGTTTAACTGCAAAAGCATCCTCTTTTTCCCTCAAGCCATCCTTATCAAGCAGCAGCAGGATTGTGACACATGACATTCCTGTGGGAGTTATTCCCAGAAGAATGTGGAATGACTTCAGAGAGCCCAGTGTGCCAGACTTTGATGTAAGCCTCTGCTTTTATATTCCCTTCTGAAAGGGGCGTTTGCAAGTGGAATGGTATTGCTATAGAGTATACTATGGTGGGGTTGGGAAAGGAGTTGAAAGAGGAAAGACTGGAGGCTACAGTCTTGGAGGGGTATGGAACATGGCTTCTATCCTGACAAGAGAGCCAAGAACTTATGGAAACAGAGTGGGTGATTGCCAATTGCTTCTGTGATGTTCATGGCAGAGGAAGGGAGGAAAGAAGGACTTGCATGGCTTTAGTCTGGAGCATGTCTAAACCACACAACTTTAGGCTGATTCAGTTGTTCAGGTGCCAAATGGTCCGAATAATCTGTTATTTCTGAAATCTATGGCCTATCTGGCAGAGTTAAAGATATATGTGTTTCCTCCTGATTTTGACTTTTAGCAGAGTTTTAAGGAAAGGTCCTCGTACAAGTGTGCTCCTATTTGAGGTTATGGATGTCTGTTACTTCTATAGCTAAGAGCATTTAGATTCTGAAGACGTACAAGAAGAAACTTTCAGTATTTTGTTCTTTTATTTCAGATTTACACTGCTGCAGTATTATAGGAATGTTGTTCTTTTCTTTTTGTCTATAGTAATTGACTATTTAGTAACACAGATGCTCGTGTGAGAATCTGATCTGCAAAAACATGCCTCTATTTTGAACACAGAATGTTAAGTCTGGAACAATTGCTAGAATGATGGCCTGTTGGTATAATGGGAAAGAGTTCCTATGTTCCTGAGACATTTGCTGATTTCAGATTGATATTGTACACCCTGAAAGCTGTAGATAACACTGTCCAAACTATGATAGAATTGAAAGTAGAAATAAATGTGTCCCAATCACATCTGAAATACTTGTGCAAATGCAGTTCTTATGTATTCCTAGGTCAGTATTTACCTACCAGTGCTGAAAACAATGAAGAGTGTTGTGGAAAGAATGAAGAATCTCAGCAATTTCATTGTAAGTTAAGGCACTTAAAGCAAGTATGCTACAGATGTTATTTCATGAGGGACATAACACGTTGCCTAAACTGGTGCTGCTACATTATCTTATTTTGAGATGACTTAGACATTGAAATCAAGGCACCTGAAGCCTGTGTAAAGCCTGAATAGAATGATGGGATTTATTTTAGGATTTACACTGAAGAGCTTTTCATGGGCTTCTCAGAAAATGATGCCTTTTGTACTAAATCCATGAAAGAACATGGCATTGTGTTGCTACAAGCTACTCTTTAGAGCTGGTAAGGCATGACAGTTCTTCAGGAAGTTAGCTGTAGACTTTCCAGGCTATTTCATTAAGGAAATGCCAATTAAGTGAGTGTTGTGTTAGGTGTCTGTGAATGAACTTCAGGTAAACTTGACGTAGGATTTAAAGGAAATGCTGCTAATAGCCCCTGGATGTCATACTGTGCTTAAGACTGACATGTTGGATTTGCAGTCTACCCTGGATTTCTAGAGTGCCGGTGGGCCTTTTAACTGAAAGAAGCCCTCTGCGGTTGGGCAGAAAAGGGCTTTGGTTTTTTATTTAATTGTTTGTGCTCACAGTCACCATAATTGACTGACATGAAGGTTAGTAAGTAAGTGTAGAGCTTTGAAATAGTTTGGGTTTGATGCTGTTCGTACCAGTTTTGATAAATAAGAAATTTTCTGTTAACTGAGAATCCTGAAATTGGAACAGTCTCAGTTTTTCAGAACTTGGAAGAGTTGAGAGATTGCCCTGGGTTACTGGCAGTTTTGCAAATGGCAACCATCCTGCAAATACACATCAAACTTTTCTTTTGTGAGATTTTTTGGGGGCTTTGTTTTTATTTTCTTTCCCTCTCCCATGTCCTTGGTGGATATGCTTATGCAAAATTTAGTGCAGTGCTTTTGTTTCTGGAGCTGAGGCTCTTTTCTCACAGAGGATAGTTGTATGATGTGATTGAACTTATACTAAGTGCCTTGCTTTCATGTTGTTAGAAAACAAAACCATCAAGTGTCACAATTAATTATTTTTGTAAGATGCATCCTGGTAATAAAACTGGTCAAGATCAGTGCTGCAAAATGTGCTTAAAAGCAATTTCTGATAGTACTTGCCCATTGTCCATTGTTTGGAGCCATTCTATACAAGATTCTGCTTGTAGTACAAGTCTTTTTTTTTAATTACTGAAAATTCATCTAATCACAGAAACAAGGTGCCTAGTTGTGCTTTAGGAATCCTCTGATCTACTTGGGATTAGTGTAAGACCATATATAGTCTCCTTCAAATTCCTTCTTCCAGTTTACAGGATGGAATTTGAAAGCTTTTAGCACTTTTCCAGGATTTCTGTCAGTTCAAAGTCCTTCTTGGAGTTACTGATCTGATCCAGCTGTTGTCTAGTTTAAATTCTTGAAAGCAGCACTGTCAGCTCCTGGTGCATCCCATTTTCTGTGTGTGTCATATAGATGTGTAGGTGCCTTTCTATTTGTTGAATAACTGAATGGAAATTGAGGAATCTTTGCATTTCTTCAGCTTCAGTCTCTTATTTCTGAAGTTTTTTCCTCATGAACTTCGCAAAGCTAATACTTGTTCTAAAAGTACTGGAGAACAATTAAATTTCTTTCTTTTCATAACTTCTGAAAGTTTGGTCTAGAGTACTTCACATGGGAATGATGGGAAATGCATTTTATAGCTGAACATTCAAATGTTCAACCATTTTCAGAAAGTATGTTTGACTTGTACTGAAGTACTCCTGGAAGGTTGTGTTTGAACAAAACCAAACTGTATTCTTCTGTAATTCTGCAATGTGAAAGTGGGTTGCCTAAAACTGAGATTGATTGCAGGTGATTGAAGCAAACTTGAGTGGTGAAATGAACTTGAAAATAGAAACTGACTTAGTATCAGTAACAACACATTTTAAAGACCTGGGAAATCCTCCCTGGGGTAAGTTTCCCTGTTACCGCTTGTGTCTGTCTGATCTCATTACTTAAGTGTGTTGCTTATAACAGTACTTTTTAGCTTTTATTATTTAGAAAATAGCATCAAGTACTTTGAAGTCTTCAAATGAAATCGTAAAAGAAAAAGTGGAGTGGCCAGTGGAGTGTCTGTTTCATGTTTGGGGTGGTGGTGGGGAATCTCTTTGTCAAAGAGGTTCCTATCAAATTCCTATTCTTGACAATTTGATAGGAAAACTGGGATTTCTTGTCCTTGCACTGTTCTAAAAAAAACAAGCCAGTTGAGTTCCAACACTTCAGCAGTTTTCAGTTATGTCCCTGTGGGGACATAAACTGCTTTTTATGTTTGGACTAAGTGTTGTGTTCTTACACTTTTAGCATCAGAGGATGGATGTCAAAGTTCTGCTCAAGGCAGAGATCTGGAAAGTATGGCTGAAGCATGCATAGACATCAAGAAGCTGCAGCAGCTGCTTGCTGGACAGCAGGTCAATCCTACAAAAGCATTGTGCAGTAAGTTCAACAGCTCTGCTTGTGAACTCCGGTTAAGTAGGGTCGTTTGCCATACTTAGTTTCAGCAGAATATCATCTCTTCTGTTTTGTCTGTCTGAAAGTCAACTATTTTTACTGTACCTGAGGACTTCTAATATTTATATTTTTAGGCAGTTAGATTCAGGTCCTAGGCATTTGGGAAAGAAAAAATAAGTCAGGCTGTTTTAAAAGTCTCAAGCTGAATACTCAGATTCACTAATCTTGTGTGTTGTCTCGTTGTCTTTGTTTTAAAGTTGTTATTAATGTTTATTATTATTTTGAGATATTATTTTTTGAAAGTCTTAAAGCCTCTAGCTTCTAGCAGAGAAATTGGAATTTACTGGCATGTTTTTTTGATTGGGTTGTTTTTCCCTTTGGATGTTTTCTTACACTGATTCAAATACTAAAATGCTTTTTATACGGCTAGTGTTTCTAGCCATAGAAAACAATACTTCCTTTCTAGCAGAAGTCTCTGCAGGGGTTTATATCCTATTTTTATAACTGTGCTTTTTCTGAGAACATCTGTTTGTTATGGTTTAGTGCAGATACTGAGAATTTCTCAATGAAGATTTAAATAATTGGTGTAGCATTATAAACCTATATACTATATATTTACTTTTTGGTGTCATCTTTCATAAACTATTAATGCTTCACAGACCCTCAAGGATTTAAATTGTCTAGTTACCCTTCTGTCAGAAGTGTTGGAAGCATTGTTTTTATGGTGACATCTTTAAAAGATACAATTTTAAAGTATTTTTCCTGCTTTGAGGTGAATTTGTGTTTTAATTTTTTTTCCCCACAGATATTGTACGTAAGAGAATTGTCCATTTCATCTTGCTCCATGAGGAGGTCTCACTTCAGTATTTTATTCCAGCAATTGCCTGAGTGTTTTGGAATCTTGGTCATTTTCCAACCTGAGGCCTCTTTCATGAAGTCTGAAATCTTTCCTGAGTTGCTGGAGTATTTTGATGTGAGACACTGTTAGACGCATCCATCAGATGGACATTATTTCAATATTTATGAAAGTGTTCAAAATACCTCCTCATCCAGACAGCCATGTTTGTGAATAGTTATATGCTATGAAAGACACAATGCTGGGGAGCGTTGGTATGTCTTACTCTTAGGAGGAGCAAAACTAAAATTTGTCTTAGCCACAGCTCAAAACATCCCAAAAGCACACTGAATTAAATACTTCAGTCTTCTCAAAAAACTAAAGGTAGAATTCACCTCTGGAGCTGCTGTTGTGTGTATTCAGTATTGAGCAATGCAATCCTAGTTAAGGGATCTCTGAGCAAGCTATCATACCTCCATGAAACAGGAGAACCTTCTGGAGGGTTGCCTGATTGGTATTTGCCTGGACAAGTATGCACAGCCCTCCTGAAGTGGTATGGAATTGAATTCTGTTCTTTTGACTCGTGCTTACTCTTTGTTTAACTCTTGGCCTGGGAGGATGAGCAAAACAATATGGATTACTTTGTTAATGTGAGCAGTGAAAATCACTATGTACAGAATGAATATCATATGAGGACATGTGTGAGCACAGCAGTTGGTGTGAAATAAAGAGCCAGTTATCTGTGGATCACATCTTTTCCCTTTCCAGTTAGAAAACATTTTTGTACAACCTTTGTCGTCATGGTGTCAGACATGGTAAGATTGTGTGTAGGCTCTCATGCCAAGCAGCCAAGAGGATGACTGAATTTCACTCATAGGAGTACTGCCCCTGCTTCTACCTCCTGGTTATTTTCTGAGCTCTTTTCCGCCTTATTCCATGTGTGATTTATTTGTTACCCTGGCATGTTCCATACAGCTTTTGATTGTTTTAGTGATTGAGTCTGTGCTGCCAAGTGAGACTGGGAGTTTCTTCCAGAAAGTAGCTTGTCATGGTCAGAAGTGCTGGGTTTTTGATGGTTTGGGTTTTTTTCAAGGGGCACTGACATTAAGGGAGCAATGAATCTTTTGTCCATGGAGATGCAAATGCTCAAGAGAAGGCTGAAGGAGAGGCAGTGGCAATGAGAAGGTAGAATAGACTTGCAGTGATGAGTGTGTTGACTGACTGTTTATAGACCTTTTTACCCATTCCCTCTTTCTTCCTCCCTGCTCTCTCCTGCCCTGCACATTGCCTCATCAGTTGTCATATTTCCACCCACTGTGATAAATAAATGCATGAAGGATTTCCAGTGCACTTGGCTTGTCTGATAGAAGCTTAAATTCTAGCCTTCTTATTAATGCAGGGACACCTTTATGCCAGGGAAACAAACTATGTTAGTGTGTGTGGGCTAGTGCCATAAATGTTTGGTTCCTCTTTGTTTAGACTGATATGATGCATGTGTTCAACTCTTACTTACATAATAATTAATCTTCCACTTTGTGATGTACTATTCATGACAATCTGAAGCACAATTTGTTGCAGTTCACTAAAGGACTGTTGGACTTTCTGACTTTTCATATCAGATCATCAGCTAATTAGTTAGGGTTTTTTAACATTTAACAGATTTATATTTTATGAACTTTAATGGTTTACTGTCATAGCTATGGAAGAAGCCAAATTGGAGATGATTGCCTTCTACAATGGGATAACTGGCTGGACAAATGAAGGGAGAACAGTGAATGTGGTCTTCTTGGGCTTCACCCAGGCTTTTGACACTGTCTGCCTTGGCATTCTGATAGGCAAGCTCAGGAAGTGTGAGCTGGATGAGCAGATGGTGAGGTAGATTGAGAACAGGCTGTATGGCAGGTCTCAGAGGGTTCTGATCAGTGGTACAGGGTCTAGCTGGAGGGCTGTGGTGTCCCCCAGGTGTAAGTATTGGATTCAGAAGTGGCCAATACCACAGAATGTTGTGCTGCCATTAGAAGAATCTCAACAAGTTGGAGACTTGTTCAGAGAAGAACCTTCTGAAATTCATCAAAGTCAAGAGGAGGGTCCTGCACCTGGGGAAAAAGAACTGCATGTACTTGTGGCAGAGAGCCACTGATATCGTGGCGGTGCATTAGGGAATGGGGCCAGGAGGTCATAAGAAGTGATCCTGCTGCTCTACTCAGCCCTGGTGAGTCTGCATCTGCAGTGCTGTGACCTGTCCTGAGCTCCTCAGTGCAAAGGAGACAAGGGAGCTCCTTTGTGTAAAGGAGCAAGTCCAGAGGAAGGCAATGAAGATGAGGAGATTACTGCAGCACCTCATTCATGAGGAGAGCCTGAGGGAGCTGGGACTGTTTAGCCTGGAGGAGAGCAGACTGAAAAGGGATTTTATCAACGTCTGAAGTATTTGAAGGGAGGACATCAAGAGGTAGGACCAAGGCTCTTGCTCATGAACAACAGGATGAGAAGAACTGGTCAGAAATTGGAACACAGGAAGTTTCACCTCAACATGGAAAGGAACTTCTTTTGAGCACTGGACTAGGTTGTCCAGAGAGGTTATGGAGACTACTTCCCTGGGGATATTCAAAAGCCATCAGGACATGTTCCTGATTAATATGCTGTAGGGAACCCTGTGTGAGCAGAGAGATTGAGCTAGGTGTCCCACTGTGGTCTCTTACAACCTTACCCATTCTGTGATTCTGTGATCCCTGCAAAGCTCGTCTCCCCCAGAGATCATTTGGATTTGTGGAGTCAGACATTCAAGAGCATTTTGGACAGGAGGGATGCATTCCGTAGTGTAGAAGTAGGAGACCTGCAGCATGTGCAACATATTCTTTGCTTCATTCTAGTCTGCAGATACCTTTTTTCCAATCATACTTGGGAAAAATGTTTAAGAAAGCAGAGATAAGGAAGACCATTGTGATTCATTAAATCTCCACCATAGAGTGTGTCAGCCATGATGGCTCCAAGTCTTTCCAGAAATAATTCAAAGTCTCCTGTATCTGCAACTGATGCTGTTAAAGGCAATTTTGTATTGGTTTTGGTTTCTCAGAGAAGAGTACTCTTTTCTGTATGCCTTATAGTCTTTCTGTCTCTGGGAGATAGGCAAGAGGTTTTAAACTTACTCTATATGTATCATGTATTGTGTCTTCAGTTTCTGTGAGCGAGCTTCCATTCTGAGTCTTTGAACATTTCCCCTTACTTGCAAATTCACCAAGTCCTTCAGGTTAAAGACTCACTGCTTGAAAATCTGTAAGTTTCCATGACTGAAATTACAGTTGGCTTCAGATGGACAGCACAGAAGGTAATTGTCCTACAGGGACTTTATGGTGCTTGTATCCCCAGTTGTCTGTTCTGTTTATGGTGGATTTTAAGTTTGCATCTTTAAGACTGGTTCCAAGAGTGAATCTGAGGAGAGAAGAAGCATGCAATTTGTTTTCATAAACTGCACTTGCTCCTGCGCATTCCTTGCTTTCTCTCAGTGCGTGTTGTCCTCAGCATGGACAGGGAGCGGGAGAAAGTTCTCCTTTGCTTTTAGTTAGTTTTTAGCTAGCTGAGGCAGAGAAGTCCCCCAGATGGTGGCTTTTCTTTTTCTTGGAACTGATTGGCCCTGCTCTGGATTGAAAACCCAAAAAACCACCAGGAGTTTGTGCCTGTGACCCACTGGGGCCCAGGATGCAGCATTTTCCAACTCAGGAGGGACTGATAAGAGACTGAGTGAGCCAAACTACACCCCATGACAAGGACTTTCTGAATTTGCCATATTTTCAGAACAGTGAGAAGTTTTATTTTTTAATATTCTTCTTTTTTTTTTAATGCTCATGAATACTTGGCAGTTTTTTCCACTTTTCTCCAAAAAAATCTTTCCCCAAACCAGTTGTGAGAGGAGCTGCTTGAATTTGGTTTCTAGAAAAGACCACTTTAAAAGTTTCCTCCCTAATTTGTCCCAAACCAGGACAATAGTGAAGGCAGATGGAAGATAGGCACACTAGAGGGGAAATGAATGATTAACTCCCTCAAGTATGGTATATGTTGCTAGAGTTGTTAATATTTTAATATGACATGGCCACAAAGTTATTTCCTTCATTCTGCAATAGCCTGAGAGTTGCAAGGCATGAATATATTTACAGAGAGGGGAGAGGAGGCTGCAGAGACCCTATTCACTTGGATTTTTCTTTTACACAAAACCACTTTGTCACAACTAGACCAGTTGACAAATGAACTTTTATTTGGTTCAGTTGCACTGGTAGAATGGAAATCTCCTTGCACGCAGACAGGAATGCTCCCTGTGATCACCACCATTGTAGGCTTGAAGTACAGAAAAGTGATCCCTCCCTGTAGTTTTTTTACGTCCTCAAACTCAAAACATCTGTACAATATATGTGTAGGGTGTTGGTTTTTCAAAGGACTTCAATGCATTATATTTTCTAGCCCAGTTAAAACATGCTTATGAAGTCCACTGATTTTAATAAGAATTAAGGAAAACTTCAAGTTAAGGATGAATTTATTGCTAGTCTGGATATTTTAGCCATTAAGATCCACCACAGAAATGCACCATAATTTTTGACATTTCCCTCATTTTTTTAACTGCAAACCAGACACACTTGACTAAATGAATGTTACCACATGTTGATGACACTTTTGTAAAGAGGCTTCAAAAGATTAATAAAATATTGGAAATAGTTTTATTTCATTATTAAGGTATAGAAGGATTGTTGTTGTAATGCCAAAGATAAAATCCCATTGAAGTAGAAAGAAGTATGTTCTACTGGTGTTCTTCTCCAGCTTTAGGCCAACATGTCACTATTTTTAAGATCCACAGTCCAGCTCCAAAAAAACCGCAACCAACCAACCAAACATGCAACATCCTGCAGCTTCTGTCCATGCAGAAAGTTTTGTGTACTATGTTTGTTCTATACTATTGCAATCCTGTCAGTGAAATAGTTAATCACAATTTTCTCACTGCTAAATTAAATCAGAGATCTTTGTTATGCAGTGAGTTAGAGTGAGTGTGAATGTTATCTTCCTATTGCTGGCAATTGTTACATTTGTAGAATTCAGTAAATCACTTCCTGGACAATGGAAGGAAGTAGCTGTTAAAACCTGGGAGAAAACTCCTCTTCTAAAAACTGATTTGTGCTAGCAAGACCAAGCCAGCAGAGGAACTCTTTAAAACATTTAAAACATCTAAATTACAATCCCCCCACCCCACTCCCAAAACCAGGAGGCATTTCACATGCTGGTTGTATAATTTGGTGATTCTCTATTGCATTCCTTGATCGTCAGTTGACTTTCATCTATGGATAGGTTTGTTTTCTGATGAACTGTCCATATACTGGAAGGAACTCTGAGAGTTTTTGTTTGGATTTTTCCCCCGACTGTATGCAGTAGCCATACAGTTAATAGGAAGGAAAACAATATCTGAAAAAAAAACCCCAACCAAACAAGCTTCTTACTCTCACATTCTTGTATGTCCTTTTATGTAGCATTACAAGTCTCATACTTCTGCCTGATTTTTAAATGCTCAAATGTCTGTCATTATGACAAATGCTGTGCCATAATTTATAATGGCATTATTTGCCATGTCTTTTTTTTCCCCACAGTTAATTGTCATGGTTTTAAATACCAGATTTATTTCTACTTAAATGGAATAACAGAATCATGAAGTTTTTAAGGTTGGCAAAGACCTCTAAGATCATGGAATCCAACTATTAACCTATCACTGCCATATTCACCACTAAATTACATCCCCAAGTACCACATCCACGCATCTTTTGAACACTTCCAGGGATGGTGATCTCTCACTTCCTTGGGCAGCCTATTCAGTGAAGAGATTTTTGCTAATATCCAATCCAAAGCTCCCCAGTGCAACTTGAGGCCATTTCCTCTCATCCTGTCACTTGCTACCTGGGAGATGAGACCAACGCCTACATGGCTACAACCTCCTTTTGGTAGTTGTAGACAGTGGTAAGCTGCCCCAGAGCTTACCTTCTCCAGGCTAAATACCCCAGCTCCTTCAGCCATTCTTCATAGGACTTGTGCTCCACACACTTCACCAGTTTTGTTGCCCTTCTCTAGACATGCTCCAGCACCTCGATGTCTTTTTTTGTAGTGAGGAGCCCAGAACTGGACACATGATGAGAGTACTCTGTGTACTGATGGATGATAACTGCCCTAGTGCTGCTGGCCACATTATTTCTGGTACAGGCTAGAATGCCATTGACCTTCTTGGCCCCCTGGGCACAATCTGGCTTGTGTTCAGCTGCTGTTGAGCCACACCTGCAGGGCCTTTTCCACTGGTCAGCTTTTCCAGCAACTGTCTTCACATTCTGCATAGGGTTGTTGTTACCCAAGTGGTGGACCTGGCACTTGAACTTGTTGATCCTCATACAATCCAATTTCTGGCATAAAGTGTGTGCTTGCATTTAATTAAAGTAATCCAGCTTTTTAACACAGAGACCATCTCAGTATAGGCAAAATTTTTTTCCTGAGTTCATAAAGTGTATGTTAGTCCGACATTTTTATTGGATTCTCTTATGCCTGTGTTTTGATTGTCTGTTTTCCCATGACTCAGCTTCTTTTTTGAATTGGAGTGTTTTTTCCTGAGGTAACAAGAACAAAATCATCAAACTAATTTTGTTCAGAGCCTCTTCCCAGGATGAAAGGAGCTTCTGCAGCTGTGACTACATCATTAAAAAACCCTTGAATCTGGGTAACTGTACTGGAGCATTTTTCCTGCGTAAGTTAAATTTATTATAATTTTTTGTTTGGCTGTTGAAAGAGATCCTCTTTCTAGAGGAAAATTCTATTCAGTTTATTTTCGTTATAAAAATGCAAGCTACACAAAAAAGCTAAATCAGTGGTGGTGGTTGAGGGAAGACTGGTGGGCCTGGTTGGGATTTTTATAAACACAGCAATTACAGAGAGACAGGGATTTCCAGCCCAATATAAACAGCCGAGGCTGAATCAAAGTTCTTGTAAATTTGTTCTCCTTTCCTTAAAATATATATTGTATTTTGCAGCTGAACAACCTACTTCAAAAATTACTGCCTTCATGTGCTTCAATATCCACATTTTAACAAATTCATTTTACTGGTGGCAATAAAAAGCTACTGTTCATTTGATTAATACTGAATGTTTGATGATGTCATAAAACTCAATTTGTTTAGAAAAGTGTGAAATGTTGCCCATAAGTGAGAAGACATTCTACAGTGTTCCCCTGTATACTCTTCAATGAAAGAAATACCAGATTATTACACACATCTGAAAATATAAGACAAATTATTGTTCTTCCTAAGACCAAAGAGCAGTTCCCCAAAATATCCAATCTATAAAAATTTAAACTTTTATTTTTATATCTAGTTTTTGATAGAAGTTTATTACATATGTTTTAAGGGACTATCTTGGCTTTGTACAATGGGCTTCAAGTAACCATTTTCGATTGCGATTCCTAGTCAAAGCAAATGCCCTTGTATCTGCTACATGCTGTTGCCAGAGTGGTTCAGCTTCTCCTAAAAGACCTAAGGCCTTAGAAAGGCCTGGAAAGACACTTTCAGTTCTTTCTGTGATCTTGTTCAAAACCCATTGTTTATAACTGCTGAAGTATTTCAGGAAAATAGCTATTTCTACTGTGTTTTATTATTTTTTATGCATCCACACAGCCACCCAAGAATATTTGCACTAGCAGGAAAGAAGTAATAAATAGTTATAATCTGTATTTTGACGGCAATTACATAATTTCTAAAGAATTCCAGAAATTTATTTTAATATGATTTCTACAGCACAAATTAGGAAAAATCTTATGGGACTGGATAGCCATTGTACCTCTGGTTTCTGTTACTGAGAAGCTGGCAGACACCATTTGCTCCAACCATCTGCAGAGAAAAATGTTGAGGTTTTTGGGTTTGGGATTTTTATCTTCTTAGACAAACCATTTTTGCTTTTGGTATGTCAGGCTTGAAGTAACACAAAGTGCAAGTTACTTCCAGATAAATGTGGGAATGGTGCCGTTAAAATTGTTCTGTGTAGCATATGACATATGAGGGATGCCCTCTTGAGAAACTGTCTAATTTTAAATATTTGGTGTAGAGTAAGCGGCTGATATAAAGCCTGCTGTAATTGGTGTGTCTCCCTAGCTTTAGTAGCATGCATTAGATCCTCAATCCTTTCTGAGATTTGCTAACAGACTCAGATTCTCTGAAAATATTAATAATTTGTCTGCCTTTTAACTTGACACATCCTGTGTTAAAATGTTCCTTTAATGGGTGCTCAGAGTTAAGAAAAGCTACAGAACTCTTAAACTATCCAAAACAGAAAAGAAAAAAGTCACCATGTATTACTTTTTACCATTAGAATCTTTACCAACTGTTTTTTGCCTGAAGCCAAACTTTTCAGTTAAGGTACCGCAAAGCTTTATTGACCCATGGCAGTCACCCAGAGGACAAAGCTGTTGCTGCATGCCAGCTCTTAATGGCAGGAGATATCCACATACCAGCGTTGACTCCATCTGTCAAAACTGCATGTGCACTGGAGCTAGTGTTTGGGGCTGAAGTACACAGATTAAAAGGTTATTGTTTCTTCCTGCAAGTGACTGCCAAATAATGTAAAAGAGAATAAAATTTCCATACTGGGGAATAAATGCCCCTAATACTTGGATAATGTTAGATTTCAGGGTCAATTCAGAGAAAGCCACATCCAGACTGTGGGCAGACAAATGGATAAGCTAAAAAATAGTAATTATTTTATTAATACATTTGTGAAACAGAAGTCCCATCCCTCTTTCAGAGTTTTGAGGCTTTAAAATAAAATAACACTTTTATTTTTGCCAGTTATTTACATAGATCTCCCCCCCCCCTTTTTTTTTTAAGGAGTCTTTCAGGAATACCTAATTTCTTTTTTAACAGTCTAATAATATCACCCATTACAGGTGTAGTAAACATTACGGCTAAAGCCAAAAACTATATAATAATCTTCCCCACTTAGTGTCACATAGCAATTACCAACAACTTTGCCATTTGTATGTGTCTTGGGTTAAGAAAATTTAAAGAGATGGACAATCTACAAAGTGTGGACATTAACTCTCCTTAGTTTCAACTTATTCCTTTCCTATTTCACCAATTAGGAAGGAATACAAGTAAATATAAGTGAAAAAAGTAACAGTTTACCAGCAAGTGAAACAGCAATAGGCAAAGCCCCACCAAAACAACAAACAACCCACCTCTGAAGAAAGTAAAAAAATCTACAAAATTGCTAAATCTCATTGAAAGGAATGAGAAGGAGGTGTCTTTACAAACAAACAGTGGGCCTGATGGTAGATAAGGCCAGATATGGAGAGATGAAAGAAGTAATGTGGAGAACCACAAATTCCATAGGCATTCCACTAATTGACACAGACTGTTACTCACTCAAGACTGTGCTACATCTCTGTATTTAGAGAAAAAGAACAGAGACAGAAGGAAAAAGAAAAAAGTGCTTGTGTGTGTGTGTACATTAGAAGGGGTTATTAGGCATTTCAGCTAGTCTGTACCTCTCAAGTACCTCAGCCAATGGGAAAAGAGGGAGGGGAATGTGGCCGGGAAATTGGCATAAAAGGAAGGCTGCATCCTCTAAAAATTTTGAGACACCCTGAAACAAGGAATTTAAGGGTTAATAGGGAATTTAGGATAGTTTAGGCAATATATATGTGAATATATGGTATTCATTATTATATTCATACGGGACTGTGATAGGGGACCTCTGAAGGATACCTGTTACATATTAAAATTCTGCTGAGCTTGCAGATAAAAGGGGCCCCTGATAAAAAACTGCTGAGCTTGCTAGAAAATACAAAGTAAAGAGAAACTGAGCATGTGAAGAAACTGGAGTTCAAAAGTTCAGCAGCGATGAAGACTTTGAGACTTCATCTTTTCTGGCCCCACCAAAAGACCACAGACTCAATAAAAAGGATAAACTGTGCAGCTGCAGCTAATTTCCATACCATGCAGAGAAATAGGCAGGGATAGATATTGAATGTGTATAGGCGTTATAGAATATGCATGATTTTTGTGAATAAATAGAGGAATTCTGAATGTTGAGGTACTCAGGATTTGGGAAGATGCTCTCCCCCTGTGTCCAGCACTGAATAAAATACGTACCTACTTTACAACCTTTGGTTGTGGAGTCATTTACCACGTTTCAACCCCATGGGGAATGGACAGCGTACCACCCCCAGTCAGTGATATGGGTGAACATGAATTTGGCCTCTATTGCACCAAATTCCCCTCGTCCACCCCGGCTGCTCCCAGGCCATGGTTCTTATACATTTTATTTTATCTGCGGCAGAGTCCCTTTTTCTTTCTTTCGAGGTCTTCATATTCATGTTTGGTCTTTTCTTCGGTCCAGGCTGCACAAAGCCGCAGTCTGGGAATTGATCAATACGTCTCCCTGATTCCCGGAATCTGGCATTCAGATGACAGGTGCTGATGGCTCTGGTTATTTCAGATGTGCATCTCATCCGGGCCATCATCTCCTGGGTGTCACTGGACACATGCCTTCGTGAATGCCCATCTCCCGTGTAGCCGAAGTTCCCTTCGAATGCAAATGTCGTGGTGCCTCCTTGCCCATCTGCCGCGGTTTCGCCATCCTGAGGAAAGATTTTTCCTCCCCCACCACGTACTAATAGTCTGCTTCATACACATATATATTTTATACATCATTTATTTCCACGAATTACTAACCAGATTTCTAACAATTCCCTCCCCTCTTTTATAAACACATTAATTCATGGATTTTTCTAAAAATTAACCTATGTGCTTTATTTTTAGCCTTTTAATCTTTAACGAACTTATGTACTTCAAGTGATTTTCTCATTTTCATCATCCTGAGGTATTCTCTGATATTCTCTAAGATCTGACCCGTTACTCTCCATCTGTTTTTCAAATTGTGCTAAGGCATTATCTGCCCATTTATGTGAGGCATCTTCCTTCAGTTTCATAATTTTTGAAACTGGGTTACCTTTAGCTGCAAGTTCTGGGTCCATGGGCATGGCTGCGACTTGCATCCCTTGCACTACTGAATGTATCAGTCGGATAAAGCAAGGGATCAAACAGGGTAAAAAGATGACTCCGGCTACAGAACCGAGAATAAAGAATATTAACTTCTTCCACCAAGCTCCATCGAACAGGTTGTCCCACCAGGAAGTATTTAGGATAGAGTTCCACTTCTGGATGGGTACTTGGGGCAACCCTTTTTATTTCAGCTGCGAGTTCTCAGGTTGTTTCTCCATAATCGTCAATTTCAGTACAGCATTCAGGCTCATTGAATTTCCCACATACTCCCCCTTCTTCTGCTAATAGGTAACCCAATGCTATCCTATTCTGATAGACAAAAGCCCTCATCTGGGAATGCTGCCTTGATAGTAACTCCAGAGTGTCTGAGGTGTGGTTAGACACGATTTCTACCACTGCCTGGAGTCTGATCAAACGGTCCAGGAGATATATTGGGGTACGGTAACCCCAGCTACCATCCTGAGCCCAGGT